ATTGTTTTGAGGGTTCTATTTACTTCTGTTCAGAAGAAGAGGGGCCTGGTGGGGATACTCAGAAGGGCAGGTGGGGTGCTGCCCCTCCCCCATCTCCCAGGGGAAAGCTGCTGTCCCTATTCCCCCAGAGGTGCCCAGCCCCAGAGGGTTAGGGGCTGCAGGATTCCCAGCTGCCTCCAGTGAGGGGGACCCTATTTTTAGCGCCAGGAGGGAGCTAGGAATTGATACACAGACTTGCTGGCTCCACTGGGAGTGGGCAGCAGGCCCAGGTCCCAGCTCACCTGCTCCCCACTTGGGAGTGGGGTTGGGGGGCACGCTCTTCAAAATTCACCCAAATCCCATACTGTCCACCTGCCCATGTTATTCCTGCTCAAACATATTCCCACACTGGGGCCTTTGCCCTGGTGGCTCCCCTGCGGGAGTGCCCTTCCCCGGTCACCGGAGAGCGCCCTGTCCGGATGCAAAGTGCAGCCTCAGCTCCTGGGGGGTGTCCCTCCTTGACCTCTCAGGGTCAGGTGTGCCCCCATCACGTCAGCCCGTTTTATCTTCATCCAGGTGCTCTGTTCTGAAATGTCTTGATTCCGTTTAACTGCAACCCGACCTTGCTGGAAGCTGGATCTCCAACCCTCCAGGCTGTGCATGGCACACAGTAGGTGCTCAATAAATGTTGGTTGGTTGGTTGAATGAATTCATGCGTTCCCTGTCTCACCCCATGGGATTTTTGGTGTCTGTCTACACAGAGGTGGAGGGCAAATGGAACAATTCACCATCTTGATTTCCAAAATCAAGGCCAAACAGGCCTGGGACGGGGTGCTGGGCACTGTCACTGAGCCCTGGCCCTGGCCTCTTGTTGACTTGTCCCTGTGAGCCAGGCTCCATGGAAATGCAGTTCTTACAACTTTGAAAACAAAAAAGAAGCAAATATGCTAGTAAGGGTTATGTGATAATACATCCAGCCTAATTTAATGTAGATTTTTTCAAGTTGTTTTTTTTTTAAGATTTTTTAATTAATTTGACAGACAGAGATCACAAACAGGCAGAGAGGCAGGAGAGAGAGGGAAACAGGCTACCCGCGGAGCAGAGAGCCCAATGCTATGCGGGGCTCAATCCCAGGACCCTGGGACCATGACCTGAGCCGAAGGCAGAGGCTTAACCCCCTGAGCCACCCAGGTGCCCCTTTTTCCAAGTTTTTAAAAGATTTTTACTTGTTTATTAGAGATGGGGGGGCAGAGGGAGAAGCAAGCTCCCCGCTGAGTAGGAAACCTGGATCATGACCTGAGCCCCCCAGGCGCCCCTTTGTTAGTTTTTATATCAACATAGTTATACAATATCACATTTGGTCCTTTTTTAAGGACAGGACTCATGAGACAAAAGTGGGTAAGACCCAGGAAATTCATACTGCGGCTCTGCTTGACCCATCTTGCGGCGGGGAAACGTTCGGCCAGGGTCGGGGTTGGGGTACCCATGAGCACCCCCCGCCCAGGCGCTGGGGACTCCTCGGCGGAGTTGAGCCCGGAACCTCCGTGGGGCGCGCGCACCACCTGCCGGGTACCTGCGGGGCTGCAGTCAGGGGCGGGGCCGGCACCGGCGCGCCTGGGTTCCCGCGGGCGGCCGCCAGGTGGCGCCCTATCCCTTGACAACGAGATCCTCGGGTCAGAAAGGGAAACCGAGGCCGCGGAGGTCTTTTCTCCCCTGTAGCTCTTCGGGGCGCTCTGCGGTAGACCCGCTGGATAAGGGCGGGATCCCCGGTCTATTGCTATCGCACGGGACTTCCCTGTACTAAGAGGTTTTCGGGGCGCCTGGGGGGCTCAGCGGGTTAAGCCTCTGCCTTCGGCTCAGGTCATGGTCTCAAGTCTGGGGTCGAGCCCCGTCCGGCTCCCTGCTCAGCGGGGAGCCTGCCTCCCCCCACCCCTGCCTGCTGGTCCCCCACTCGCTCGCGGTGAGTGGGTAAACACGGTCTCAGCAGGTTGTTTACTGCTTGTCCGGAATTGAAAGTGGCCCCTTCTGGTGCCCCCACCCCCCGACCTCCCTGGGCTCATCCCCGTCGGGCAGCGCTGGGCCGACCCGCCTCCCTCGCAGGTGGACTGTGCTGCCTGGCACGCAGTCTGTGGCTAGGAACCGTCGTGGTCCTGAAATAGCTGGGACGGCGTCCCTCCTCGCTTAGAAGCCCCATGGCTCCCAGCACCCTCGGCAAAGACCCAGCTCGTCCCTGCAGCTGGCGACCTTCCCACTTCATCCTCCTCTGGCCCCATGGGCCTTAACCCACTAGACATGGCCTGCCTCGGGGCCTTTGCACTGCCTGTGCCTTCCGTCCCTTTTGCTCTTTCACCACCTCCAAGCTGCATTCACATTTCCCAGACTCGCCTCCTCCAGGAAGCCTTCCTGGACCTGCCCCCACGGAGGCAGGCTCCCAGTTACTCACAGAGGGCACCCAGGTCTCTTTCCTAACCTTCTTCCCTGCGGTCGCTTTGTGTCTCCCCGGGTCATTCGCCCCCTCTGTGGACAAGTACACAGGGACTCTGTAGAGGTTGCTCCTTGTCTCTGCTGTGGCCCAGTACCCAGGGCAGATCCTGGCTCCCAGGGAGGGGCTCTGCAGACAAGATCCGGCCGAGCAGGCTCTGGAGGACTCCTCCTGGACCTCCCTCTCAACCCTTGGACTGTGCGTGTTTTTCTGAGTTCACTGTAAATCCTGATAGGAACCCGAGGTTCTCCCCGACAGCCGCACTCGGCAGAATTGTGCTACCATGTCCCAACCAGAATCCACCCACCCTATTTGGATCTCCCCGTTGCCCACCCTCCCTTCTCACCACCCCTCCCCGCTTTCCCCGGGCAGGGACTCATCTCTTCTCCACTCCCACAACGTCCTCATCACAAGGGTGCTGTTAGGTGGGCTCATACATCAGGTAACATTGGGGGGGTGTCTTTTTGTCCTGCGTGATTCTGGGAGATCGTCCCCGGGGCCACCTGTCTGCACAGGGCGTCCACAACGACTTCCCACTGAGGGGTGTTCCATGGGGCAGGCCGAACCCTTTGCCCACCCGCTCACCAGCTGGAGGACCCACGAGCTGTTCCCGTGGCAGTGACCTCAGGTAAAGCTGCTGTGGGAACACGTGAAGGGGTTTTGTGTAAAGGGACTTTTCATTTCTCCGACACGAAGGCCCCAGAGCCCCTTCTTTACCTTGTTTTTTTAAAAATTCATTTTCCAAAAAAATAAAATAGAACGAAGAATAAAAATTCATCTTCTCTGGCAGCAAAGGTGCCGCCCCCTCTGCACATACCTGTGTTAGCCCCCACAGCACACTTGTGCTTTCTCCACAAACGTGTACTCAGCCCCACTGTGCGTGGGGTCCTGGGACACAGTGGGGACCGAGTCAGGGAGGCACCCAGCAGGTAACAGGAGGACTTCGGTGTTGTGATGGGGGCGGCGAGGGGCGCATGGGTGAGAGGGTCCCAGGAGTGCTTTCTAGAGGAGGAGCAGCTGAGCTCAGACCTGATGGGTGAGCGAGAACAGCTGGCATGACAAAGGGACCAGCGTGTGCAAAGGCCCAGGGGCAGAGGGATGGCAGCAGTTCAAGCAGCTGCAGAGAGACCATGAGTTGGGAGGGTAGGGGTGGAGGCCGGGGGAGGGGGTGGCAGGGCCTGTGGGCAAAGGAGGAGAATTTCACCCTCTTGTTCTGCCCAGTCTGGAGGCTAGTGATGGAAGCAACAAGCCCGGCTGGCTCAGCATGTGATACTCGATCCTGATCTCAGAGTCCTGAGTTTGAACCCCGCGCTGGCTGTGGAGCCTACTTTAAAAAGTAATAATAATAACCAGTAAGCTTCAGGCGAATGTCAAAATGGCCCTATGTTTTGGCTTTTCGGTCTCACAGTAACATCTGCGCCAAGTTGGATTGTTTGGAAGTCCGTGATGTCCCCAGATAATCTGGGAGGATGGGGGCCCTCTCAGAGACCGGCAGTGGCCCTGCCGGGTGAGTAAGCCTCCGCCCGCAGGGCTGTTGGGGGGAGGCTGAGCTCATCCCCCCTCCCGCGCGCGCACACACAGCCCCACCCAAGCGGCCTCGGGAGGCCCTGGGGCAGCTCCCAGGATTCAGTGTGGAAAAACGACGTGGTGGGACCTTGGAGCCCAGGCCTCCAGGCCCCTGAAGGGCCACCTCTTAGAAGCTCTGCCAAGGGATGAGTCTGACCGTCCCCAGCAACCCATGCTCGGCCACCAGGCATGAGAGCAAAGCCTCCTCGGGCCTCCTGGTCCCGCTGAGCCCAGTCACCCCCCAGAATCGTGAGTGATAGTCTGCTGGGCCGCCCTCTGTTTTGGGGCGGTTTATTACAGTCCTGCTCCTCTCGCGGGCGGCTCCGGGTGCAGAGCTCCAGCGAGGACCTGCTTCCTCAGTGATGCCCAGTTCCCCCAGCAGGACTCTGGACACACGCCAGGTGGCTGCACTAGGACCTTATTTTTCTGTCATTTTTAAAAAATTTTTTAAAAGATTTTATTTATTTATTTGACAGAGAGAGAGAGATCACAGTAGGCAGAGAGGCAGGCAGAGAGAGAGGAGGAAGCAGGCTCCCCGCTGAGCAGAGAGCCTGATGCGGGGCTCGGTCCCAGGACCCCGGGATCATGGCCTGAGCCGAAGGCAGAGGCTTTAACCCACTGAGCCACCCAGGCGCCCCTATTTCTGTCATTTTAAAATGCACATGGTGTTCACATTTTAATATTTCTGGAAACTTGGATGAAGCTTACAATGTTACCCCTGCAAGGCCCTGTGTGGAAAATGTCCGCAGATGCTTTGGGGGAAATTTCCAGGGAGGGCCAGTACCTAAGTCTTCAGCGTCAGGAAACAGCAGTAAGTCGTGACAATATCTATAGCCCACGGGACAGCACACTCGTGGGGAACCATCAGGAGGACAAGACATTTTCACTGTGATGATGTTGCACGAAATAAAGACATTAATTATAATCATGTAATAGCAGCCGCTGTTCAGGCAGCGGCTGTCCCTGAGGGCCTGCTCTAAACCTGAGTGGGCCCAGAGGGGGCAGCGTGTTCCCTCAGGACACACAGCCTTCGGGCTCCCTTGGGACACATGCAAGGCTCCCTGGTGTCAGGGTCCTGGCAGTGTCTGGGTGGGCGGCCAGGCGGTGCGACTCCGTGTGGGGGGCAGCGGGGTGCGAGGGTCCAGACCCCGGGTGCTGCCGGGGCCGCCGGGGAGCGCAGGGGCAGACCCTGCGGAAGGCCTGCCGGAAGTGGGAGCCCAGGAAGGCGTAGAGCAGGGGATTCAGCGCGGAGTTGCTGTAGGACATGCAGTGCGCCCAGGTCTTGAGCGCGTAGGCCGCGTAGCTGCGCGGGTGCCAGGCGCCCGCCGGGCCCACCGCCTGCAGCACCAGGAACAGCTGGATAGGGCCCCAGCAGGCGGCAAAGAGCAGGACCACGGCAGCCACCAGCCGAGAGACCTTGGCCCGCACAGCGCCCGCTCGCTCTGCCAGCAGCTGCCCCTGGGGATGGAGGGAGGTGGTGGGAGGCAAGGCTGCAGGCCCGCTGGGGCGACTCGTCAGAGCTCCCCTCCGTTTTTATTTGTATTTTATTTTACTTTATTTTATCTTTAAGCTCTACACGTAAGGCGGGGCTTGAACTCACGGCTGGAGATTGAGAGCTCGTCGGGCACCCCCAGAGCTCCCCTTCTCGACGCTGGCACATTCTCCCGCTCAGCCGCCCCCTGAGTCCCGCACCTCCCCGCCCCCGCCCAGCAGCACACCTGCAGGGAGCTGTCAGTGGCGGCGGGGCGGCCCAGGTGGCGCAGCATGGCCCCGTAGCAGGCGCAGGTGGCGGCCAGGGGCAGCAGGTAGAGCGCCAGCAGGTTGTAGAGCGCGAAGGCCCGCTCGAGGGCGCGGCTGGGGAACACCTCGTTGCAGTAGGTGCGGGGCCCTGGCGAGAGGCGGTGCAGAGCGAAGACAGGCGCCGACACGGCCGCAGAGCCTGGACCACAGGGCAGCTTGAAGACCTTGCCCGAGGGACGAGGGATGCCAGGGCGCCTCGGGCAGCGTCACCAGGCGCGTCCCCGGCGCGGGGCCCCCAGGGCGCGCTATTTAGCTCACTTCCCAGATGCGCGCACAGTGAGGCCCACGACCGACTCCCGGGCAGGGGCCGGTGGGGGTGGGGGTGCCCAAGGCACAAAGTCTTGTCCTCCAATCCCCATCCCCGGGCGGCCCTCGCGCTGCACTCACCCACCCAGATGCCGAGACTGACCGCCAGAGCCAGGCGGGGCGTGCGGCGGTGCAGGGCGCGCAGGGGGAACACGGTCACGTACCAGCGGTCCACGCTCATGGCAGTCAGGGTGGCGCACGTGGCCTGCACGGAGACCTGGGAGGGCCGAGAGCTGGGCGTTTCGCCCTGGGTCCGGACTGGGCCCTACCCTGTCTGCGCCCACACTGTGGCTCCCCCCAGATCTCCAGACACTCAGGCACAAATGGGACGTGTCTTGGGAAGGTCTCCAGGGGCCACGGTTGAAGGGGCAGGAGAGGGGACACCAGAGAGGATCCCAGGAGAGCGGAGGTTTGAGGGAGCCATTTGAGGTCCGCGGAGACCCGGCACTGAGACAGGGGAGGCAGAGCCATCCTAGGATCGTGGGAGGGACCGGGCAAGAAACCGCAGGACCCAGATCGCCCTCCCTATGCCCACCTCCGTAACCCACACCCGGTCCGTAACTCACGCACCTGCGGAGTCCTTCTCCCCCAGGTCCGTGCATCCGGGCTCCACTTCTTCCTCGACCCCGCCCCACCCGGGGTCCAGCCGGCCCACACCCAGACTCCGCCCCTTGGCGCCCCCTCCCTCCCCTAGCCCGCGCACCTGCTGCATGTAATTGACGAACTTGCACATGAAGTCGCCGAGCACCCAGGCGGGCAGCGGGTAGAGCAAGGCCGTGAAGGGCACGCAACACAACAGGAAGGTCACGTCGGTGGCCGCCAAGTTGGCTGCAGGGGCGAACGCGCGGGGAGCCTCAACCACCCAACGCCCGGGCCCAGGCCCCAGGCCCCAGGTCTCTGCCTTCCTAACCAGCGGGATCGCTCACCCCCGACGTCCTCAGGCAGAGAATTTCGGGCATCCCCCCAGCCCCCCACTTTTACGTTGCAAACATCCCCTCTGCACGGGCTTCATTAGGCATTCGAGGGTCAGTCCACAGCGCGGCTCGCCCCATCCCCCTGGAAGAGCCAGAGCAGGGGGCTTCCGTGTCCCGCCTGAAGGTTGGAGGCAGCGGTGCCACTGGCCGCCACCATCGGATGCAGAAAGCTGAGCACTCACCTGTGCCAGGTGGGCCAGCCCAGGGCACAAACGTGTGAACGGGGCCATGGACCAAAGGTCGTACTTTAGTTCACTGGGCACGGGGTTACAAGAACCATATTTGCATCAGACCCCTTCCTCAAGGCTCAGGGCCCGGCTCTCGGGGAGCCATTCTGCAACCTCCCTCTGAACCACCGTGCGTGGAACCCTCTGGAGCTCTATCCCGAGAGAGCAGGGACAGCAGGGACAGGACCCGTCTGGGGGAGCCCCCTCCCCTCACAGGACACCAGCGTGGCAGGCAGGCTCCGTGCAGCGTCCCGGCGCTCACCTATGTAAAAGTTGGTCACCGTCCTCATCTGCTTGTGGCGGCAGATGACGAAAATGACCAGAGAGTTCCCAGCCAGGCCGAGCAGCATCAGTGCGGCAAAGAACAGTGGCACGAGCCAGGCGTCCACCGGCAGTAGCTGGGGGACCCCGCCGCCCGAGGCGTTGGCCGGCACCCTCCAGGTTGCGTTGGGCGCCGACATGGCCACGGCGCTCATGGCTCCGCAGTCCTCTTCCTTGGCTGCGTTCCGGGATCACCGTGGGGACCCTCCTCTTGGCCTCCTGCTGGGGACACGCCCTCCGAGCACAGGGAAGGGTCTCAGCTGGAGGCCACCGGGTCTGGAGGGCCGCTCCACCGGGCTGGGCAGCTTCTCTGCTCCTGAATCAGCCCCTGCGAGTTTATATCCTGCTGCCCGCCCTGTCCCCGCCTTCCCCCCTCTCCTTCCCGCGTGCCCTCCATTCACGTGCACAGCCAACTTCTCCCCCTTTCTTTCCTCTCCTTCTGCAGTCCACAGTCCTGGCGAGCGCACTGGAGGGGACAGGCTGGAGGAGGGGCTTGGGGAGCCAGGGGAGAGGGGTCAGCTGCGTGGAGGCTGCTATGGGTCCTAGAAGGACGATCCTAACAGGACGTAGAGACCCACAGGACCGGCGAGCAGTCTGGACCAAAACACAGATGCAAGAGAAGGCCCCTTGGTAGTGGCCATGACTTTGACCTCCCGAGTGCCTGGGGCTCCAGTGGGTGGGCCCTGGTACCCGGGGCTGCAAGGAGGGGTCCTGGAGAGCCACGGGCAGCTCAGAGCAGGGCAGGGCTGCCCAGGATCTAGCCGTCAGCAGACTCCTGGTCTTGAAGAAGCTCCCTAGGACTCCACTGCTGTAACTGGGGTGTCTGCCTCCCACCTAAGCGACTGCCAGTAGCAGATACTCACACTGGGGATGCGGGCACCTGTGACCTTGGTGGCAGGAACCAGGTGGAGGGCATTCTGCAATGACACCGTTGACCCCCAAAACCCACACCCAGAAATGTACCCCAGATACTACCCACGAGGCATGCCTCAGTGTGCCAGAATGCTCCTGCCATCGCGGAGTACCACACAGAGACAAAAAGATGCCACCATTGAGGAAACTGTGACTAAGAGGTGGGGGAGGGGAGAAATGGGGAAACAGGCCCTGGGCCCCTGCGGCACATCAGTCATCACCATCGCCAAAGACTCTGGGAGAGGGGCACTGCCCGTTCACCCTCTTTCCGCCTTCAAAATTATTCTCGACACTGGCCTAGAAGGTCAGGAGGGGAATGAGCAGCAGACCAGGATGAGGAGACCCAGGCTTGCTAGGAGGAGGGACTCTTTTGGGGCCGCAGCTGAGTCCAAGGGCCTGGGAGAGCGCTGAGGGCATGGCTGGACCTTTGAGGTGGGGGCGGCGGGCAGCGGAGGCGGCTCCTGGGGCACCGAGGGTCCACGAGGGGGTTGGGAGGGTCCCGCGCAGGAGACTCCAGAATCAGGCCAAGGCCCACACTGTGCCCTCTCCCACCAGCACGTTCATGGAGCTAGTCATCATGGGCCCGACCAGGGGACCAAAGGCTCCTGGCCCTCAGGACCCCCTGCCTGTCCCTCTGCCCAGAGGCACCTTCTCCCGGGGTTTGAATCACCATCGATTCCTGTGGTGTCTTCTCACATTTATCTATGTGACGTCACACAGCACGTGCTCTGGGGGCACTTAGCAGTCCCTCCTCCTCCTCACACTCCTCCCGAACCTGTTGCTCTCTATTTGTTAAGGCGATCTGGTCATGTGTCCTGCACAATTTCCAGCAGGTTGCGTGTGGCAGGTTATATCCCTGTGCTGTCACTTGACATGGTCCTAGACCCCCACTCTTCTTGTAGATGGAAGGGGGTTCTAGATTTCACAGCAGCTTTAATTCTCTTCTCTACCCCCCCTTCCCCATAGCTCACCGTTGCCTCTGAACAAAAACCAGACCTCCCCTCCTAGGACCTCCAGGCTCACGGATCCACCCTCTGCCGTCTACTCCCATCCCCCGTGTGCTCACTCATCACCCTGCTCTGGTTACTTAGAATGCCCCAGGACCTTTGCACTGGCTGTTCTCTCTGCCTAACATGCCCTTCCCACTTTGCAGCTGACCAGTCCCTCTCTCAGAGAACTCCTCTTTCCTACCCCACTCGGTGGGGAAGGGGTCTGCCTTGGTCACTGCTGCATCCTCAGAGCCCATTCCTGGGCCGTGCCCACAGAGGGCATTCGTTAAATGAAGAAGTCCTTAAAGGTGAAACGAGGTGGAAGCTCATATCCTATTTTTAGACACGAGTAAACTGAGGCACCCAGCCCATGCTCTCGGGCTGCCCTGGAACACAGGCCCGGCGGGGCTGGTGAGAGGAAAAGCCAAGTTGGTGCTGGGGGGTAGGGGAGCTGGGGCTTGGGTCCCTTCATCTGTCCCCTGCCTCTGAAATGGATGTCCCCCCTCTCTCCTGGCTGCCCAGGCCTTAGTTTCCCCGCCCCCCCCCCCCCCCCCCCCCCCCCCCCCCGCCCCCGCCCCGCCCGGCTTCGGAGGCAGGGATCACGCTCCCTCCACCCTCAGTTTCCCCGTCTGTTCCTCGGGGCTGGGTGTGGCCCCATCCCACACCCGCAACCTGGAGGCTTGGCTGCGGTCCCCGTTCTCCGCCCCGGCTGTCCCGCTTGACTCCCGGGGCTGGGTGCCCGCCACCCGCAGCCCGGGATCCGCCGGCTTCGTGGCCTCGGCCCCCGCCCTGCGCGTCCAGCCTCCAGGCTCCGCCCCGGCCCGCCTCTGGGCGCCCGTCACTTCCTGCTCTGGCCGAGAAGGCCCTGCCGGGCGGCGGCGACCACAGCGGCCGAGCCATGGTCGCACTGGAGAACCCGGAGGGCGGCTCGGAGGAGGCGGCGGCGGCGGTGGGAAGCGCCCCGGGCGGGCGGCGGACGCTGTGAGCGCGGCAGGGCGGGCGGCCAGGCCTCCGGGGACTCCTGCACCCGCTCTGCTCCCCTCTCCCCTGCTGTCCGGCTGCAGCCCCAGGCCGCCCCGCCCCTTCTCCTGGCGGAGACCCTCGAGCGCCGTGGGGTGGGGGTGGGGGGCTTTGTTGCCACCCCGGAGAGCCCAGTCGCGGCGCGTCCGGGTGTCTGGGCAGGGGGGGCACACCCGGTCTGTGCGTTTACGTGCCTCCGGGGCCCAGAGGTGCGCCCCCGGCCCGGTGCCCGGGCGCTGACTCGCGTGGGGGGTCTCCTGCGCCTCGCCCCCGGCTCAGGTGAGGGGTGCCCCTGCGCGAGGCGCCCCCGGAAACCGCTTTGCTGTTCGGGGTGTTTACGCACGGGCCGCTGTTCCTGCCCCCAGGCTGGGTAGAGAGAGCACCCGCCCCCCGCCCCCGCCAGCCCGCGCTTGCCTGGGGGGGGTCTCTCGCCCCCCCACCTCCCGAGCAGACAAGGCCCTTTGTTCACGTCCGGGTACTTGACAGATGCGACGCGCGGGGGGCCCGGAACCCGGGGGGGGGGGGGGGGGCGGAGCCGCCCACTCTGGGTGCAGACCCTAGAGCGGCTGGGCTAGAGTCCTGTTTAACCGGGATGTTCCCGCAGAAAACAGCCACCCACCCTGTGGTCCTGGTTTGTGGGGGGCAAGGAGGCTGCTGCCTCCTTCGCGTGCTGGCCCGGCCGCCTGGGCAGTATATGCCTCAGTTTCTCCATCTGTAAACCGAGGTATAGTAGCGGCCTCTTCTCAGAATGGCTGGGAGGGGCAGGGGGGAGGTCTACGACCCTGTGCCCAGCAGAAGGGAGCAGTCATTCTTTAATTATTATCTGAAACATCTTATTGTGTAATTTGTTTCATTATACATTTATTATTACTCCTTTGTTACCTCCCCCTGGGCCTTCACCCAGAAGCCGTGTGGGTTCTACAGATGTGGGTATTTTCCTTCTTTTAAGGGGCCTTACCCATCCAAGTGGGTATTAACCTGCCAGTGGGTCCCCACGGATGTCTCCAATACTCCTTCACCCCTGTGTGTCCCCGGGGGGTGCAGTCACTGCTGGAGGCCCCAGGTGGCCCCACCCCAGCCTGAGTCACCTCTGCGCTCTGAGCCTGCCCCCCTCAATTTCCTGCTTCGGGAAATAGGTTCCTCTCTTGCCTGTTCCTGGGGGAGGGGCCTGGTGCCAGAGAAAAGTATATTTTAGCCCAAGAGAAAAGGTGCTCAACCTGATTTGGCCGCTGTTTCTACCTGGGCCTGTCCACTGTCGTGGGGCACGAGCAGCTTTCGCGATGCAGCCATTTCCTGAGTCCTGTTGGGGCCAGGAAGGCTAGGGTGCCCTGTCTGGGTCCCCAGTTTCCCCATCTGTAAAGTGGTCTCTTTGGGTGGTCTGGGAAATAGCCCTTGGCAGGTGCTGGGGACCCTCCTGTTCATAAGGGTCTGGCACGGGAGGTGAGGTGTTAGTTGGGTGAGCCAGGAGCAGGGCGGCTTCTCCCAGATGATGTCTGAACAGAATGTGCTGAGAAGGCGCACTGTGGGCAGCAGGCTCAGCATGTGCAAAGGCCCTGAGATCGACTGTTCTGGGGGTTTGAGGCCCTGTGAGGGGGTCGCTGTGCCTGGAGCGGAGGAACCGCAACCTTCATTACAAATCTGATTTACTGGGTATTTGTGGCCTGCTGCTTCCGCCCTGCCTGTTTCTGCTGTCCCCTCTTTCTTTATTTTTTTAAGATTTTATTTATTATTTGACAGACATAGTGAGAGAGGGAACACAAGCAGAGGGAGTGGGAGAGGGAAAAGCAAACTTCACGCTGAGTAGGGAGCCCAATGCGGGGCTCGATCCCAGGACCCTGGGACTATGACCTGAGCCGAAGGCAGACACTTATCGACTGAGCCACCAAGGCGCCCCTGTCCTCTCCTTCTTGAGTGAGGGTCCAAGCCCAGCCATTGGCCCTGGAGGCCACATGTTTCTTGCCTTCTGCTGGAATGTGGTTGATGTCAGCCGCCTTGAGTTGGTGGTGGGATTCAATTTCCAGATGAGATCGGGCGCGTTCAGGGTGGTATGGCTGTAGACAAGGACTCAACGTCCAGCGCTCAGCTCAGAGCATGAGGCCCACGAGAGGGTGGCAAGCCCCCCGAAAGCCTGTGGAGCCAGGCACAGACCCCTGTGTTCCCGATACTGGGGAGGGCAGGGCTGGGCCTGGCCCTGAGGGTTCTGGGGAGCCATGCAAGGTGGTGGAGCAGGGCAGGGCCAGCTGGGTCTTCACTAGGTGGGGGGTGAAACTCTGTGGAGTCAGAGAAGCAGGAGGCTGAATGGCTCATGGGGAGTGTTCCCATTCTGACCAGGTCCCAATCCTGGTTCTGCCACTCTCATGAGGAGATGGGGAGGCCCCATTCGTCAGAGCCCCATGTCCCCAGGGCTCAACCCTGCTCTGACATCCCTGATAAGCCGCCCCGGATGCGGACTCTTATCAGCCCCAGCAGGCTGCCGCTCTGGGCTCTTTCCAGCTGCCAAGGTAGAGACACAGCACGGGAGCCCTGAAGAGGCTGGGGGTGAGCTGGGGCTTGCAGTGGGGGTGCTCGGGCCTCAGGGCGTAGCCCTCAGGTGGAGCCAGCCTCATAGTCATTGGCTCAGTGCCGACTTGGTTTACCTTGGCCTGTCTTTGTTGGCTTCTTTGCAACGGTGGGATCTCAGTGTCATGACCTGTGCCTCAGTTGCAATTCTGTATAATGGGTGTCAATGTGATGTCACCACCCTTGTGGCATGCTAGTGATGGTGAGAAGGAACGTTCAATCCAGGGACGATGCTTTGATCAACCGTGTGATGGGGGTGAGCTCCCCATAGCAGGAGGAAACCAAGGAGGCACTGCTGAGTCAGACGGGAAGGGTCTGTCTTGGCCCTCTTGGCTCTGAGTATCCCCTTTCAGACCCAAAGGCACCCACAGAAGCCATTTTTCTCTTCACGTGGCCGGGAGTGAGCTGGGGTTCCAGGTTCCACAGCGAAACATCCTAGCTGGGATTCGAACTCGGGACTGACATGCCAGGGTCCAGCCGTGCCTCTGCCTGCGCGCCCCTGCTGACGGGTGCTGGTTCAGGTGTGAGATTGTTCGTGAGGCAACGGCATGGATTTTGCGGGGAACTGTTACCCACTGGGCTTTGGCAGCTCACCTGCTCTGCTGCTGGGACGTCCGTGGCGTGGGTCTCAGCCTGTTTGCTTTTTGGAGAGGTCATGGCCATTCTGGACTGAACAGATAGATCCTTAATGCTGGGGATGCTTTAGGTCTGTGTAGGCCCGGAGGAGCCCTGGCTTCCTCCCTAATCCTACGAGAATTCTCCTCCGAGAGGTTTGTGGCTCAGAGGGGAGAGGCCGAACTTCTGCTTTTAGTTTGTGTCCTGGGAACTTTGGCTCCTAGGAAAGTGTGGGGGTACTTTGGATTCTGGGTTCCACTTGGTCTTGGAGTCATGGGTTTTTTTTTTCTTTGAGACCTCATCCCGCGTGCGGGGCATGGCCATGAATGTCTACATGGGGATTGCCACGTTGTGGGCAACGGGGGCAGTTAGCTTTGAAGCAGAACTAGTGATCAGAAACGTGAAGGGATGTGTCATATAGCGGCCGGGGGGCTCTGGAGAGGTTTTGGCAGAGCCAAAGGGGACGAGCGAGTGAGCCAGTCCGAGTCTCGGGGAGTGTGCACCAGGCGGGGGCCCGCAGGTGGGACAGTGCTGGGCATCCTGGGGGTGGGGCGAGGAGGCCACATGCCCTTGGCCCGTGGTCTGGGGGCTGTCGGGGGCAGACAGGAAGGCCAGGAACTCCTTGCCAGGACACCTCCTTCCAGTGCTCTGCACGCCCCCCCCCCAGTGCCCCAGTGTCTGCAGGTGGCCCTCCTGTCCCAGTGGGAGGCCCAGCCAAGCCGCTAATCCATCCCCACATTAATGCATTTGCTTGGAGGAGAGCAGATTATTGGGGGGGGCCTCCGGCCTGCCTCTGGGCACATTCGGGGTGGGGGGGCGCCAGGGGCTTGCGCAATGGGCTCGGGCCTCACCTTGAGCTGCTGGAGGCTGTCGCCTGGTTTATCGGCTGCTGCCCGGGAGATGCTCCGTTCAGTCATGCCTCCTGAGATCCTCACGGGGTGGGGGGTGGTCCAGTCCTGCAGACGCTGGGGCGCACCGGCTTGCAGTTAAGGTCTGGAAGCCTGGGGGAGGCGGGAGGAGCTTTTCTTGGCCACCCACCCATGATGTGAATTTGGGCACGGGTCTTCTCTGGCCCCCGGCTTACTGATCGGGCCTCCCGGGTGATGGGACCGTGAAACACAATGGAATTTGGTGGGTCTGGGGTTGTCCATTGCTGAGGGAAACCAAGCAGGGGATGTCATGGTACAGGGACCGAATGGGGTTCTGCCTGGCGGTCCTGGCCCGGGTCGGCCCTGAGGCCTGCCTCTCCACCCCCACCCCGGCCCACAGGCCCCTTCCGCGCTGCCTGCCCACGCTAGCTGGCCCCCAGGCGAAGAGGCTGTCGGCCTCCAAGCGAAAACAGCATTTCATCAACCAGGCTGTGCGGAACTCAGACCTTGTGCCCAAGGCCAAGGGGCGGAAGAGCCTCCAGCGACTAGAGAACAGTGAGCAGGGCTGGGTGCACCTCCTGGGGCTTCCTAGGGCTCACACGAGAATGGCCCGTATGTTCTCTCATCTGCTGCTTTTGCCACGAGGCCGGCCCTGAGCTGGGCAGTGCTGGGGCGGGGCTGTGAGGAGCTATGGGCATGGGGGCTTGGGTTCTCAAAGACATCTAGGAGTTCAGCAAGCCAGGGAGAAGCCAGCGTTCTGGAGGTGGAGGCTGGGTGGTTTCTGTGCCTTCTGGGAAAGAGCTGCAGCATGGAGGCGGGGAGATGGTGTGGGCCGGAGAGTAAAGGCCCTAAATGCAGAGGCCAGGGGTTTCCGTGGAGACATTTGGGGGGACCAAATGGCACCCCCCAGCCCAGAGCTCATCTGCTTCCATCTAGCCCAGTACCTCCTAACCCTGCTGGAGACAGATGGGGGCACAGCCGGTCTGGACGACGGGGACCTGGCACCCCCAGCAGCACCGGGGATCTTCGCAGAGGCCTGCAGCAATGAGACCTACGTGGAGGTGCAGCTCCCGTGCCCTCCTCCCGCCTCCCCCTGCTCCTGTTCTTGCTTCCGCACCACACCTGGCCTGTGCCGGTCCCTCCCTCAGGAGCGCCCACTGCCTCCAGCCCGCTTGGTCCCTTGATGAACCCTGGCTCTGCTTGCCTTGGGGCCCCCACACCAAGCCAGAACTCCTACCCGCCCCAGAACTTTCCAGCACTCCTGATTCCTCTGCCCATCACTGGAAATGAATGAGTCCATGGGAGGCTTAGCTGGTCCATGGCAATCCCCCGCCCCAGACAGGCAGGTCTGCGGGTACCCCATAAACTCTTGGCCAGCCCGGTGGGCAGATGTGTCTAGAGGAGTATGTCCATACGCTTGGGGGCCCTCTGTGGCCATTGGCTAAATGGAGAACCTGGGGCTCATGAGCCTGGGTCCTGCCTGACTCTCTTCTAGGTCTGGAATGACTTCATGAACCGCTCTGGGGAGGAGCAGGAAAGGGTTCTCCGCTACCTGGAGGATGAGGGCAAGAGCAAGACGCGGAGGAGGGGGCCAGGCCGTGGGGAGGACCGAAGAAGAGGTGTGGGCCTAGACGCGAGGTTGGGGCAACCAGAGGAGTGAAGGGGGGGCCTGGCTGATCCTGTTGTGGGCGGGCCGGAGATAGGTGGAGAGGAACCCTGGGGGACGGCTCGAGGGGAGCCTGGTGAGTGGGTGGTACCTGGTGGATGAGTGGGGGTGGTACCTGGGGTGGGGGGGAGGAGCCTGGCGAGTGGGCGGCACCTAGGAGATGAACGGGGAGGGGTCTGGGGTGGGGGCGGTGCCCCGGGAACCCATGGGGAGGAGCCTGGCTTGTGGGCAGGCCCGAGGCTTGCTCCTCCAGAGACTCCACGCAAGGACATCTTGCAGAGGACCCGGCCTACACACCCCGTGATTGCTTCCAGCGCATCAGCCGGCGTCTGAGAGCCGTCCTCAAGCGGAGCCGCATCCCCATGGTGAATACCAGGCCAGGCTGCGTCTTTCTCCACCTGCTTGGTCTTTTTTGATAGCTTTTCTTCGTCCCCTTCCTAATCGGCAGTGGTGTGATGGGATATCTGCTACCCAGTGCAGGTGGTGTTGGTGGAGATGAGGCAGGGTACAGACCAGACCAGTGCGGTCAGCGTGCAGGAACCAGGGCTGGGAAAGGGTTTTCCCCGAGAGTGGGGGGGCAGGGGCAGTGAAGGTGGGTACTGCGGGATGCGTAGGAGTCCACCAGGCGGAATGCCCAGGAGTCCAACAGTATGGCCATATCTCACTCCTGCTACCTTTGGGAAGGGTTCTGTAGCCTCCTGGAACAGGTCAAAGGCCTGTTCCGAGGCCTCTGGGTTCTAGAGGCTACCCTGGGCATGGGGCCTGGACAGCTTGTCCACAGTCTCCCGGTTGGCCTCACCCCAGGCCCTTTTCTCCCGCAGGGAACGCTGGAGACCTGGGAGGAGCGGCTGCTGAGGTTTTTCTCAGTGTCTCCCCAGGCCGTGTACACGGCCATGCTGGACAGCAGGTGACTGGGTGGGAGTGAGCACCGTGTGGTCCGCCAGGGTTCTGGCCCTGGCCCACGGCCACTTACCGTCTGTTTCCCTCCAGTTTCGAGAGGCTCCTGCTTCATGCTGTCTGCCAGTACATGGACCTCATCTCAGCCAGTAAGTGCTGCTGGCCCGCAGGGCCCCATCAGGCTGGTGCGGCCCAGGGAAACCGAGGCCGGAGTCATGCAGGGGCTCGTCCCTCAGGGGGAGGCTTCTCAGGGAGGAGGGCGCCATGAGCCAAGGGTGGGCGGTGGGACAGCGTGTTCAGGCATCAGAGGCCCCCCGTGTGCCTGGCCCCGTGCTGGGCGATGCCGGGGGCACGGATGCTCCCTGGGAGCCTGGGGCCTGTGCAGGTGTCTGGGGCCCCCAAGACAGAGGCAGAGCTCTGTTTAGCTCTAGTCCCTCCGCTGTGACATGGATGTGACATTGGCAAGTGCCCCCTCCTGGGGCCCATGTCCTCTCTTTTATAATGCGGGTGTCCTCGGGACGCAGTCCCCCAGGGAGGGTCCTCACAGGCCCTTGCTGTGTCTGGGTGCCCCATGGGGTCTGGGCTCCTCATCCTGGCGACCTGCCCGAGTTGCTGAGGAGATGGTTTCCATGGCAACTCTAGGCCGCTTCCTCTTACCGGCTCCCTCTGGTGGACTCCGAACTTTGCTCCCGAAGACCCAGGACCCAGGGGCCGGCCCGGGTGCTTCTCTGCGGGAGCTGAGCGGGGCCTGAACACACAGGAGGAGGGGTCCTGAGCCGATGGGGAGGAGGCGCGCCGGAGCACCCCCGCCCCGCAAAGGCCTGAAAGCAGGGCCGAGCTTGGGGGGCGCGGGGCCGGTTCAGGTGTGGGAGTGAAGGGTGGTGAGGGAGAGGGGAGGGAGGTTGGTGGGCGCCGTGCCACCCAGCGCTGGATGCCGGAGGAGCCTGGAGGGGTGGAGATGGCGACCTGGGGACCCGTGACTTGCGTAGTCCGGTCACAGCTGCCGTCCTTGTCCCCTCACAGGTGCGGACCTGGAAGGCAAGAGGCAGATGAAAGTCAGCAATCGGCACCTGGACTTCCTGCCCCCGGGGCTGCTCCTGTCCGCGTACCTGGAGCAACGGAGCTGATGGCAGCCCCGCCCCTCCCCGCCACCCCAAGCCGAGTACTGAGTACTTACGGACGTGCTCTTGCCTCTGGCGGCTCTCACTCTGGCCCCTTCCCTGTCCACCTGTCCCCTTAAGCGCTGGGGGCTGGGGCCGCGCCGGACTGGCCTGGCCTTGCCCCTCCGGCTCTGTATTGCAGCCAGGAGACCCGGCCTGGTCACCTCCGTGTTCCTTTCTTCTGCTTTTCCAGCCCCGTTTGAAGCCTAAGCGGGGAGTGAGAGGCTGGGTTTTTTATCACTTTTAATGAATTTGGCATGATTTGTTGTACATTTTTTAATTTCCCTTTTGGGAAGAAAAACCAAACACTTGCCCCAACTGATAAATGGGGGGCTTTGTTCTAGTCCCTGCTTTAACCCCCCACCCAGTTTTTTGCTTGGTTGGTGGGGGGGGGGGTCCCTAGGGCTCTGCCCCTTTTTCCAGGAGTGTTCTGTCGTGTGTGCGTGTGTGTGTGCGCCTGTGTGTGCGTGTGCCCTGCAACCCTGGACAGAAGCTACATCTTAGAGGCTGATCTTACCACCGTTTGGAATGTGTGTTCTCCCCTGGTGGCTTTTGGTGGCTCTTGGGGCCCTCTCTGGTCTACACACCTCCTCCCTTCATACTGGGGGATTGGGACTTCCAGCCAGAAGCCTCTGCCCTCGAACTGCCCCATTCTCCTTGCCGTGTCTCCTTGCTCCCTCCCCCATCTGGCTCTGGCCTGTTGCCTTGGGGTGTCCTTACACTGGTCACCCCGGCATGTCCCACAGGAGCAGAGCTGGGGGACACCCCTCCCGTGTGTGTGGCTAGTTGTGCTTTGGGAAAAGTGGAGAATTCAATAAATTTCTGGTGCTCTGGTCACCAGCTGTGGGTTTTCCTTTCCTCCAACAGGTGCTCAGGACGTGCTTAGGTCCTGGTCACGGAGGGCTGCAGGCCTCAGGGGATGAAGGTTCACACGGAGTGACCCCCCCCCCCCCCCGCCCCGTGGGAGGCGGGTGTGTGGGGAGATGCTCCTGGGAGCGCTGGGTCCATTGGCTCTGCTGCCCTGGCTTGTCCCGTGCCCAGGTGCTCAGGTTCAAACCCCAGCTCTGCCACTTCCCAGCCGTCGAGGGTCCAAGAGGGTCCAAAAGTCACTCGGAGGAGCCTCCTGGGGTGGCCAGGACGAAGTACCCCAGCTGTGGCTTAAAACCGCAGGAATTTATTGTCGCTCTGGAAGCTGGAAGTCCAAACTCCACCTGCGGCCGGGCCGGGAGCTCCAGGGGAGGGTCCTTTTGCCCCTCGGGGTCCCGGTTTCCTTGGCTTGTGACCGCCACATGGCAGCCCCGGCCTCTGTCTTTTCCTGGCCTCCCCGTGTTCCTTCCCGTCGGCTTCCCTCTGCGTGTGTCTGGGACTGGCCGGGTGCCCCCCAGGACGTCCTCAGGCTGGGTTCGTCCATCGGGGGTCCTTGCCGGCCAGGCGGCTCCTGCCTGCGGACGCCGGCCCCGGTCCCCCTGCTGGGCTCGCCGGTTGGCTTCTGCCCCGGGAGGCTCTTTCCCTAGCACGCGCCGTCGGGGGCGGTGGGCGCTGGGAGCCGGCCCGAGGGCAGGTCTGTGTCGGTGCCCGGACATTCCGCGGGGACGCTTGCCTCCTCTCGCCCGGGGACTCACTTCTCCAACTACCGAGGCCCGCGGGGGCCACGAAGGCCGGCGCTCCAGGCGGTCCGTCGCCGGCTCCCCCGCCGGGCAGACCGTGGGGTCTCGGCCGGGGGCTTTCCGGAAGGGGCGCCGCGGCCGGTCCCGCTGGGTTTGCGCGCGCTGCAGAAGGTCCCACGCGGCCGCCGGAAGTTCGCGTCCCGGGACGGAACAAAATATGGAACGCTTCACGAATTTGCGTGTCATCCTTGCGCAGGGGCCATGCTAATCTTCTCTGTATCGTTCCAATTTTAGTATATGTGCTGCCGAAGCGAGCACGCTGGAACGGTCCGCCCGCCAGGTATTTATAGTGCTCAAGATAAATGACTTTACAGAGAGGGTGGATTTCCTAAGGAAAGGGTCAGCTGCTTATTCTTTTTCCTTTATCCGCACAGCATAGAGAATAATGAAAGGGAGCCTTCATTGGAGTTGAAAAAGTGTTTATTGTTCCATCAAATACAGCTCTGGTGGCCGCTGGAACGCTATCAAAAGGCCTATGCAAATGTACCGGAAGCGGGGCGGAGTCACCGCCTTCCCAGAAGTCCCTGGGAAGCGGCCGCGCTGCGCGGGCAACTCGCTGGTCCCGGGGAAGATGGCGGCGCCGGAGCCGGGGAGCTAGGGCGAGTGCGGGCAGCGGCTGCCCGCTCGGCTTGGAGTCTGGGCCGGCCTGGTGAGCGCGGGGCTGCGGGGCCGGAGAGGTCGGCTCGCCTCCGGCCGGCGCCCGCGGCCGGGGGAAACGCAGCCCGGAGAAGGCGGGCCCGGGGCGGAGCCCGCGGCGGTAGAGGGCGGACCTCGGGGGGGCCTAGGGCGCTGGGCACGCGGCCGGGCCGCGGGCGGGGTCTGGGGTGGGTGCGGAGACTGGCGCGAAGCCTGGGGCGGACTGGGGGTGGGGCACGGAGAGCCGGGGCCGGCGTGGGGGGACGGGACCCCAGGGTAACGGGGGGTTGGGCGGGGCTCCGGGAGGGCCCGGGTCCGGCGGCGCGCGAGGCGCTGGGGGTTTGGGATGGGGTCTGAGGGCTTAGGCCGGGCGGGGGCTCAAGGGACAACCTGGGAAGCGGAGATCGTAGGGGATGGAGGCTTTGGGGGCGAGACTTGCAGACTCGCAGGGGCTTGTGGGCGGGGCCTGGGTGTCCCCGTCAGGACCTGGGGGTGGTGACTGAGAAAAACGGGGCGGGTCGGCCTCGGGGCCTCCCCGGACTGCCGTGAGGGAAAGAACAGGAGCCCATGCTCGCTGCTGGCGCGGGGAGGGCCGTGGGGAGGCTTCACCCCTGGGACCGTCGTCCGCCTTCCAAGTCCCGCCGCCGCTTCCCCTGGAGGTGGTGTCCTCGCGGCTCTAGCGCGTCTGCCCACGGGCCCTGCCGCGGGACAGACCCCACGGCCCGCCTCGACGCGCACTTGCCGCTGCCCTCTTCGTGCCTCCACCCCGTCCCTGCCTGTGCGCTCCAGACCGCCACAGAGGTCCTGTTCCAGTGTGGGTAGCTCGCGGCCCTCTGGGGGCCCCCGCCCACTGGGGTGAGAGCCTCCAGGGCCCGGTGGGACTGGCCGCATCATCTCCTGCCCCCACCTTGCCCCTTATCCCTTCGCGCATCTGCTCCAGCGCGAGGGGCCTCTTGGCCACTCCTCCAACATCCGAGGTGCCGCGCACCCTCAGCGTCCTGGCGCAGGTGTTCCCTTCGCCTGCCTGCCGTGACCTTCCCCCAGGCATGTGCGAGTCTGGCTCCCGAACTGCTACGCTGGGGTGCTATTTTCTTGATTAGGTCTCCCTGTTCCTCCATGTTTGTTTATTTATTTATTTTTTTTTAAGATTTTATTGGGGTCGCCTGGGTGGCTCAGTCGTTCATTGTCTGCCTTCTGCTCCGGTGGTGATCCCGAAGTCCTGGGCCTGAGCCCTGCGTGGGGCTCAGCGGGAAGCCTGCTCCTCCCCGCGCTCCCCCTGCATGTGTTCCCTCTCTCGCTGTGTGTCTCTCTGTCAAACAATAAAATCTTTAAAGAAAAAAGAAATAAAAAAATAAAAGATTTTGTTTTTTAAATAAGATTTATTTATTTACTTATTTGACTGCAAGATCACAAGTAGGCCCAGAGGCAGGCAGAGAAAGAGGGGGAAGCAGGCTTCCCGCTGAGCCGGGAGCCCGACTCGGGGTTCCTCCCAGGACCCTGGGACGGGGACCCGAGCTGAACGCAGAGGCTCAACCCCCTGAGCCACCCAGGTGCTCCAAAGATGTTATTTATTCGAGAGAGAAATCACAAGTCAGGGGGCAGAGACAGAGGGTGAGGGAGAAGCAGGCTCCGCACTGCGCAGGGAGCCTGTCATGGGGCCCATCCCAGGACCCTGAGATAGGATGCCAGCTGGAGGCAGACGGGTAACTGACTGAGACCGCAGGTGCCGTCCCTCCATGTTTAAAATGCAGCTGCCCTTAACATGGCACACGAGACCCTAGGGCAGGGGTTGGGTTCCTTTCATTACCTGGGGTAAGCCAGCACGCAGCGTGGAGCTTGGCGTCCTGCGGGCACTCAGTGAGTGTCCGTGTCAACCTCCCTCAGGAGCTGCTGACCGTCCTCGGTGTGTGACCTGTGGCCTGTAGGCACGATGGATCTGGCTTACGTCTGTGAGTGGGAGAGATGGCCCAAGAGTACCCACTGCCCGTCAGTGCCCCTGGCCTGTGCCTGGTCCTGCCGTAACCTCATTGCCTTCACCACTGACCTTCGAAATGATGACCAAGGTGTGTCTCCTTGCCCTCCAGCCCAGCACCCCCATCCCTGGTGTCCTACTGGGGGGCCTCTGGGTCTCCAGGCCTGCCTGGGAGCTGCTCCTCCCCCATGGGGGCCCTCAGGCTTTTCTCCCCTGTCACCGGGGTTGGTGAGGACCGTAGCCTCACAGGTGTGCGCAGGACAGATGCACTGTGCTCCTGCATCTGGTGCTGGGCCAGAGTGGGGGAAAGACCCTGGAATCACCCCTTTGGGATGGAGCGGAGCAGGGGTGTGTGGTCCCCTAGGGCTTGGAGACTTGATGCCCAGTTTTCCAGAACTTACATGTCATTATCTTGCTTTTGGAAGCCTCAAAGTCACTTTGTTGGGACTTGTTTTCTGTCTGTTGTTAAATACTGTGTGCCTGTTAGAAGAAATTAAAAAAGCAGAGAAATTTAGCTTAAGGAAAGAAAGTCACGGAGAGATACCCACCGTTAGGGTTTGGAGGTCATCTTCTTCCAGTCCTGTTTTCTGTGTCTCTTTGAAAAAACGTGACCACGCTTGTAGTCACAAGCCTGCTTTGGTCTCCAGAGGGAACCCAGGAACACAAAAGCCTGTTCTGTGCTAGCACTGGGGCCGTCTACATGGTCAGCAGCAGAGCAGCCCCCTGTCGTCCCCATGGGTGGGATGTTCCCTGGTTTCCTCCCTGAGGCCTCCTGGGGTCATCAGAAGCTTCAGGGTGTTAGGGCTGCTGTGCTGAGCATGCGCGGCCCCCTGCAGACCTCACCCGCGTGATCCATATCCTGGATACGGAGCACCCCTGGGACGTGCACTCTGTCAGCTCGGAGCACAGCGAGGCCATCACCTGCCTTGAGTGGGACCAGTCAGGTGAGGACGGGCCAGGGGTGGGTGGTCCTGAATGGCTGAGGGAGACAGTGGTGCTCACCCTTGATCCTGAATCTCAGAGTATCGTGCTCTGTCTTCTGGTGACGTCCCCAGAGCCCACACAAGGGACTGGAAGCCTCAACCTGCGGCTTTGTGGCCACTGCTGTTCACATTCCCCAAGGGCACCCTTGTCCGGAGCACGCCTTGTGCCCCTCCCCTGCTCCACTGCTGCCAGGCCTGCTCCTCCCAGACCCTGGTGCACTAGCGGCCGCTGTCCCAGCCCACCGCAAAGGTTGGTGACCATGAAGGTTGGTAAGGCAGGTTTGCTCCCCCCACCCCCAACAGGCTCCCGGCTCCTGTCGGCCGATGCCGATGGGCAGATCAAGTGCTGGAGCATGGCAGACCACCTGGCCAACAGTTGGGAGAGCCACGTGGGCAGCCTGGTGGAAGGAGACCCCATTGTGGCCCTGTCCTGGCTGCACAATGGTGTGAAGCTGGCCCTGCACGTGGAAAAGGTGGGTGTCCTACCTGAGCAAGTAGGTGCAGTAGGTGAGATTATTCACCCTGCTTGTCTACCTGCTCCTCTTGATGTGGCTCCTCCTCTCCCACCACCAGCATCCTTTGGTTTCTCTAGTCCTGGGCCCAACTTGTGCTTGCAATCAAGCCATCAGCATCTGCGTCTTAAGTGAGCCACCCATTTAACTGATGGCCACTGTCCTCAGTGAACCTTTCACTTAACTGAAAGCTGCTGTCCTTAGTAAACCACTCATTTAACTGATGACTGCTGTTCTCAGTGAACCTCCCATGGTTGGTATGCTTAGGGAATCATCAATCATTGATGGTTGGTTCTCAAAATCCAACCCACTGGGTTTTTTTTTTTTTTTTTATGGTTTTATTTATTTATTTGATAGAGACACAACGAGAGAGGGAACACAAGCAGGGGGAGTGAGAGAGGGAGAAGCAGGCTCTCTGCTGAGTGCTGAGCCCGATGTGGGGCTCGATCCCCGGACCCTGGGATCCTGACCCGAGCTGAAGGCAGGTGTTTAACAACTGAGCCACCCAGATGCGCCCCACCCCCTGGCACTGTTTAATTCAGTGCTCCCAGAGCAGGGTTGTCAGGTCACAGAGGGCAGAGCCTTTAAAGCTGGTCAGGACCCTTAGCTGGGGTTGGGATTGGCAGTAAACAGACCCCGTGCTCCCTTCTCCCCCCATAGTCAGGTGCCTCCAGCTTCGGGGAGAAGTTCTCCCGCGTCAAATTCTCACCGTCACTGACGCTGTTTGGCGGCAAGCCTATGGAGGGCTGGATCGCAGTGACAGTCAGTGGCCTGGTCACCGTGTCTCTGCTCAAGCCCAGCGGGCAGGTGCTAACATCCACGGAGAGTCTGTGCCGGCTGCGTGGCCGTGTGGCCCTGGCTGACATCGCCTTCACTGGTGGTGGCAACATCGTGGTGGCCACTGCGGACGGCAGCAGCGCCTCCCCCGTGCAGTTCTACAAGGTGTGCGTGAGCGTGGTCAGCGAGAAGTGCCGCATTGACACCGAGATCCTGCCCTCGCTCTTCATGCGCTGCACCACCGACCTCAACCGCAAGGACAAGTTCCCCGCCATCACCCACCTCAAGTTCCTGGCCCGCGACATGTCGGAGCAGGTGAGGCCCTGCCTGGGGGGTGCCCCTCCAGCTGCAGCAGCAGAGCTCCACACCCTTCTCGTCTCAAGCGCTGGGGTCCGGGGTCCGACGTGGGCCTCACAAGGCTGAAACCCCGGCGCGGGTAGGGCTGGTCCCCCTGGGGCCCCAGGGAGACCCGGCTCCTGCCCTTCCCTGGCCCGTAGCCCCCGCTTCATCCTCCCCGCCAGTAGCACGGGGTCTGCCCGTCTCTGGGACCCCCACCTGCCCTCTGCTTCCCTCTCATGAGGACCTGGTGAGGACGCCGGGCCCCAAAGCCTACAGGTCCCGGAACTCGGGATGGGGTCCTCTTCGGGGACATCTTTGTGGCCGTTGGCCAGTGGTCACCCAGGGCTCCAGTGTAACCACATGTCAGTGAGGCCCCCAACTTCGTGAAGCTCTGATAGTTTCTGTGGCTGCACCCCTGCTTGCCCCCAGGGCCGTGTCTGCCGTCCCAGCCGCACCCTCTTGACCGGCTGCTGCCGTCCCCAGGTGCTCCTGTGTGCGTCCAGCCAGACGAGCAGCATCGTGGAGTGCTGGTCCCTGCGGAAGGAGGGGCTCCCGGTGAACAATGTTTTCCAGCAGATCTCACCTGTGGGTGAGTCTCCCCATTCCCAGGGGCACTGGGCTCCCAGCACAACACGTGGGAGCTGTTCTGAATGGCTGCACAACATCGGCCCGCGCTGCCCTCTTCCTCCCTGCTCTGCGGCCGCTTCATTCCTGTCCTGGAGAGCCTCCTGTGCTGGGGCTCAGACGTGAGGTCTGCCGGTCAGCCCACAGGCAGGTGGCCTGACTGCCTCATGTCTGATGCTTCCTGCAGCGAGCGAGTACCTGCTTGAGGGAACAGCAGTGCAAAGGTCCTGGGGTAGAGGCCAGGAGCTAGAGTGGCTAAGTAAGGGGGGGCACAAATGGGCACTGCAGCAGGAGTGGGGGTACCTGCAGCCCCCTGGGCCACAGAGGGCACTTAACCCTAAAAACCACAGACTCCTCCAAAATGTCTGGTCTGTGGTGAGGAGACTGGGGCCCAGAGGGCGTGACCGCGTCCACTTGGAACATACCTACTGGCTCCCCTCCCTCTCCCCTGTCCCTGCAGCCACATGGAACTCCAGTGGCTCCAGATGGCAGCGCCCCCCCTCACCCCCCGCCAGTGGACCCTGGGACATGCTGGCCCCACTTGAAGCCACAGAGAAGTCAGGAAAGCCCCTGGATGTCCCCCCCACCCCGGGGCCCACAGAGATGATTTCTAGTAGATGCGAGCTGGGCTCTCGGCCGATGAGCGCTAATGGAGCCCAGAGTGGCTGGCTGTGTGGGGGCTACTGCATAGGAACCGCTGATGAAGCTGTGTCGGGGGCCCCACGGCTCCTGCCCCCCCCGGGCAGTTACATAAGCTGCACACCGTGGGGCAGAGCGATTACCGTGAAGACTGTCCCAGCTGCCCTGTCGCCAGACCCCGCGAACTTGGGGAGCTTGTCGGTGGTGGACGGGGCCCCAGGTGTGTGTGGCCCCCTGCCCTGTGCAGACAGTGACCAGCCCCAGGGCCAGCCTGGCCATAGCCATGACCTAGCATTTGTGCCCGATCGGGTGCAGGCGGCTCGGCAAGCTGCCTGGATGCCGCTCAGGTGCTGTTCCCCCTCTGTTGTCCCTGTTAGGTGCCGGATTGCCCTCCGTGGCCTTAGGCAGTCTCAGTGCTCCCTGGGCCTCAGTTTCCCTGGGAGACAGTGCCTGCTAGGACTCCCTGCCTGGGCCCGTGGCGGGTTTATAAATTGTGACAATCCGTTCAGGGTGGAGTTCTCAAGGCAGAGCAGCGGCAGGAAGAAGCTGTGTGATCGCTGTCACCGTGTGGCAGACCAGCCCTGAACTTAGTAGCTCAAAGCGCAGCTCTGCGCTCTGCTGGGAGGGCCGCCTCTGCTGCTCTGCCCCATTGATGTGTCTGCTATCACCCGCCAGATGGCTTGGGCTGCTGTCGGCTGGGCCCCCGGTCTCCCTCTGTGGCACGCGTGTCCCTGCAGGCTTGCCCCGGCGTGTCCCAATGCAGGCGCACCTCATGAGTCTCTGCCTGCATCCCGTTTCCCGATACCCAGCAGCCAGCCCAGATGCACGGAAGCCACTCTGCCCGTCGTCGGGGCTTTCATCACCAAGGGTGTGGGCGCGAGGGGCGCCGATCTGTGGCACCTTGACCGTCCGGCTCAAGCCTCGTGAGGCGGGTAGAGCTGGGGTCCCCCTGGGACCCTTAACGTCACAAGAAAACCCCACACAGGCTGGCCAGGTCTTGAGGGGGTTGTGTGGTGGCGGGGTCTGGGGTGTGGTCTGTCTGTTGGTGCGTTGGCTCCTGCCAGGGGCACGGCAGCCTCACTCCCATCAGCCCCGTCCTCGCCGTCCCGTGGAGTCCAGGGCAGGAGCGGGTTGGTTCAGCTGCTGTCCCAGGCCCGTCGTGAACCGTGCAGCTGGCTGGGCCGTGGAGCGCTCTGAGTGGTCACTCTGGGCCGGGACCCCATGTGCGGGGCCAGGGGCTGGGGGTGGGGGGCCCCAGCCGGGGTCTGGCCTGCTGCATGTCTCATCCTGTTTTGCTTTCCTGCCCACTCCCTGCCCCCCTTTGCAGTCGGCGACAAACAGCCCATGATCCTGAAATGGCGGATCCTGTCGGCCACGAACGACCTGGACCGCGTGTCCGCCGTGGCGCTGCCGAAGCTGCCCATCTCACTCACCAACACCGACCTGAAGGTGGCCAGCGACACCCAGTTCTACCCCGGCCTCGGTACCGCCCCCCTTCCTCCGGGCAGGCCCTGCCGGCCCCGACTGCTGGCGAATGTCCCCGGCCCTCCGCCCGGCTCAGCCGCCTGTGCTCCCACACACAGGGCTGGCCCTGGCCTTTCACGACGGCAGCGTCCACATCGTGCACCGGCTGTCGCTGCAGAGCATGGCTGTCTTCTACAACTCGGCCGCCCCACGCTCTGCAGATGAGCCGGCCATCAAGCGTCCGCGGGCCAGTGGCCCCGCCGTCCACTTCAAGGCCATGCAGCTCTCCTGGACTTCACTGGCCTTGGTCGGCATCGACAACCATGGGAAGGTGAGCTGTGATGCTCTCTCCTGGCGGGGGGGGGGGGGGGCGTGTGAGGGGCAGGCCCCCAGGACTGCGGTCCCTGCTGCTTGGTTGGCAGGAGGTTCCTCACTGGTAGGGTGGGGCTCCTCCGGCCCCGGAGGTCTCAGAGAAAGCTGCAGTGTGGTCTGGGGCGCAGAGTAGGTGCCCTGCCAGCAGGAGCCGTGAGGACGGTGGTTCTCCACCGCCGGGACGCAGGTAAGCGACCTGTGGCTCTGGGGCCTCATAAGAGCTCCCTAATCCTTGCTCCTGGGGGCCTTGGCCTGGCTGATGGGCATGCTGTACACGCTTGCCCTCCACCCCGGACAGATCAGTTTCTGAGCCACTTTTCCTCATGCCTCCTGCCTGAATCCACTTCCCTGCGGCCCCGTCCTCGGCGTGTCCGTGCGGCAGGCCAACCAGTGGGCCTCTCCTCGCCAGAGGGGGTCGCTTCCGGAGGACCCCCCCCCCACGGCCAGAGAGTGGATTTGAGAGGCCTGCCGAGGGGCGTGGGGGGCCTGGGGTCACTAGGTGTGGGGCGGGGCCCGGGTCCCCTCCATTGCTCCCCTCCCTGCCTGAGGGCGCTGTGGGGCTCGACCCTCATCATTGGCTCCCCCCAGCTGAGCATGCTGCGCATCTCGCCGTCCATGGGCCACACGCTGGACGTGAGCCTGGCCCTGCGGCACCTGCTGTTCCTGCTGGAGTACTGCATGGTGACGGGCTACGACTGGTGGGACACGCTGCTGCACGTGCAGCCCGCTATGGTGCAGAGCCTGGTGGAGAAGCTGCACGAGGAGTACACCCGCCAGAACGCCGCCCTGCAGCAGGTAGCGCCAGCACGCGGCCCCGCCCTCTGGGAACCGGAAGCCCCGCCCCCCGGCCCTGCGCGGGCGGCCGCCTTCCCCCCTGGGGGCAGGAGGTGGTGGGCCTGCCCCGCCCGGCTGCCGCTCTACCCTGCTGTGGCTGATGCTGCTTCCCGGGCCCCTGGGGGGAGGGGAGGGAGTGTCTCTGCCTGCCAGCTGCTCCCACCGCCCCCCCCGCCCCCACCCAGGTCCTATCCACCCGGATCCTGGCCATGAAGGCCTCACTGTGCAAGCTGTCCCCCTGCACGGTGGCCCGTGTGTGTGACTACCATGCCAAGCTGTTCCTGGTGGCCGTGAGCTCCACGCTCAAGTCCCTCCTGCGCCCGCACTTCCTTAACACCCCCGACAAGAGTCCTGGTGACCGGCTGACCGAGGTCTGCAGCAAGATCACCGACGCAGGTGGGTCCCGCCCCGGAGCCCCTTCACGGGGTCGTCCTAAGCCCCACCTGAGGGGCGGGGGGTGTGGACCGCCCAGGCACAGGGTGGGGGCAGTCACCCAAAGGCGTGGATGCAGCCCGGCCCTCGGGGCTCATGGCAGAGCTGGGAACCGATGATAGCCGCAGGGGAGCCTCAGCCGGGCCTTCCCGTCGGCCACACTGACCCAGGGTCCTCTTCTTCGAGGTCCGAGGCCTGGGGCGCGGCTCTCCGTGGGTGCCGCAGGGTGCAGAGCCAGGTGTGCCCGTGTCTGCGCGTGTGCTGCGAGCACCGCGAGGCCACGGTGTGCCTGACTGCCCGGGTGTGCCTGATTCCCCGCCCCAGACATCGACAAAGTCATGATCAACCTCAAGACAGAGGAGTTTGTCCTGGACATGAACACGCTCCAGGCGCTGCAGCAGCTCCTGCAGTGGGTGGGGGACTTCGTGCTCTACCTGCTGGCCAGCCTGCCCAACCAGGTGCGGTGTCCCGGGGCCCCGTCCCCTCTGCTCTGCCCCACCCCCCCTTCACCCTCTTCAGCAGCGGCCTGTCCCCTGGCGCCTGACCCACTTTGACCCTCTGCAGTGGCCCCCTTGCGCCCCCACCGTCCCTCTCTGCAGCGGTACCCTGACCCGTCCTCTCCCCGCCCCACCCCCCACAGGCACCCTGCACGGGACCTCAGGGGCATTGAGCTGTGTGTGCACCCACTCTCTCTGGGGGCTTGTGCAGAAGGGTCTGTGCCACACCCGCTCTAATCTCTAACCCGCTCTAACCTCTAACCACACCCGCTCTAACCTTTAATCTTCACCCGCTCTAACCCACAAGGGTGGCCAAATGTGTCTCCCAGCCCAGGTTTAAGTCCTTCGTCCCCCTGGGAGCCATGTGAAGTCCCTTTTTCCCCTTCCCCACATGGGCTGCCCGGGGTGACCACTTTGCCTCCTCCCGGCACCGCGCGGTGGCTTGAGTATGCGCTCCCAATGCCTGTGGCCCAGTGGCCTGCTGGCCCGGGTCTGCCCTGGCCCATCTCCCCGCGCGCCGAGGTGTCCAGCCGAGGGCCTCTCCCTGCAGGGCTCCCCGCTGCGGCCGGGCCACAGCTTCCTGCGGGACGGGCCCTCGCTGGGCCTGCTGCGCGAGCTCATGGTGGTCATCCGCATCTGGGGGCTGCTGAAGCCCGGCTGCCTGCCCGTGTACACGGCCACCTCGGACACCCAGGACAGCATGTCCCTGCTCTTCCGTCTGCTCACCAAGCTCTGGATCTGCTGTGAGTCCCCAGCCCTCGGCTCTCAGCACCCCCGCCACGGCTCAGTTCCGGGCCCGGTCGCCCGCACCCCCGGCTCACACCGGCTTGGGCCCCAGTGCCCGGCACGGGTGCTCTCAGAGCGGCAGCCGTGTGCTTGTCCCAGGGCACCAGACGGCACGTCTCCAGGTGGTGTCCCCTCGTGCCAGACCCCTGCCACCAGGAAGGCTGCCTGGTGCCAGTTGGTCCCGGGGGCCCGTGCCTCCCCGGTGGGCAGTACGTCCCCACGGTCCCCTCCCCACAGGCCGCGATGAGGGCCCCACGAGCGAGCCGGACGAGGCGCTGGTGGATGAGTGTTGCCTGCTGCCCAGCCAGCTGCTCATCCCCAGCCTGGACTGGCTGCCCGTCAGCGACGGCCTGGTCAGCCGCCTGCAGCCCAAGCAGCCTCTGCGCCTGCACTTCGGCAAGGCCCCCCCGCTGCCTGCCGGCGCCGGCGCCCTGCCGCTGGATGGCCTGGTCCGGTGAGTGCCCGCCCTGCCCCGTGGCTCTGCCTGCGCCGGGCCAGCCACTGCCCTCTGGCCTCAGGGACACCCCTGCCCCCTTCTCCATCACTGCACTCCGTCATCTGGGGGACACCACTGTGCCTCTGCTCTGCTACCCCCGCGAGGAGCGTCCATTGCTGCCCTTTGACTCGGGCTCCAGGCCCTGCAGAGCTGGACCATGTGCTGCGTGGCCCCGTGGCTTGTGGCCCACCGTGGATGAGCCTAGTGCGGGCTCTGCAGCGCAGCCGGGGGGACAAACCACGGCCTCTGGCAGGGTGTCCTCAGGGCCAAGGGGCCCCTTCCAGAAGCCCGCCACACGCCACTGCCGTTGGAATGCGCGGGGTCGGCCTTCAGGGCCTAGCAGTACTGCCGGGCTGCCTCTGTCCCCCCTCTTCAGGCAGGAAAGCTGCGTCGACCCAGGGTCGGGCAAGGGCTTCCCCGTTTAGACACTCAGGTGACCGAGAGACTCGCGTGAATTCCCCACGCCGGCTGTTACCTTGGGTGGAAATGTCAGAAAACAGATAAGCCAAAGGAAGACAGCCCTGTGCGGCCCGTCCGGGTGATGTGCTCTGTGAGCTCCGGCGTGTTCCCTCTTGTCTCGCAGGGAGGGACTGCCCTGTGAGTCCGGGCCCCTTTGTGTTTGGGTTTCAAGATAAACTTTGAGAAAAGAGGGGATTGATCACAAAGAGGTTTTAAGTTCAGCGTTCTGGAAACATTCAGACAGACTTAATACCCGGGCAGCCCCACCCAGCCCCCAGGACCCCTCCCACGGGCAGTCCTGTACCGTCCATCACCCCCGTGTCTGCAGCGGCGGGCGCGTGTGTCAGCGGGGGTCTGCCCCGAGCCGCTCACGTGCTCCCTCGTCCGCCAGGGCGGGCCAGCCCAAGGTCGACCACCTGCGCAGGCTGCACCTGGGAGCCTTCCCCACGGAGGAGTGCAAGACGTGCACCAGGTGAGCGCTGCCTGCCGGCCGCTGGGTGCATGGTCTCCGCCCCCCGGGGGGGCGAGCAGGTGTCTGTGTCCTGGTGAGCGCACGCAGCCTGTGCCTGCCCCCGGGGAGCTCTCCAGGTCCGAGAGCACAGAAGCAAGCATGGGCCCTGGACAGATACAACCCTAGTTGTTGGCTCACAACCCTGGACACAGGCTACGGCTCCCAGGGTCCCCTGCTAGGGAGCCGCCAAGCCGGGACTCAGAAGCCCCACGACCCTCGCTCGTTCACTCCGGGGGGGGGCAGTGCCTGAGCTGGGCTGTGAGGGTGTGCGGGAGGCAGCTCAGCGCTGGGGGAGCTGCATGTGCCAGGACCCCGCGGCAGGTGGGAGGACGGCCCCAGCCGGGGCCTCAGCCTCCCGGCTCTGCCCCAGGTGTGGCTGCGTCACCATGCTCCGGTCACCCAATAAGACAACAGCTGTGAAGCAGTGGGAGCAGCGTTGGATCAAGAACTGTCTGTGCGGGGGGCTGTGGCGGCGGGCGCCCCTCAGCTGCCCCTGACGGGCCCTCGCCGGGGACACGACGTTCCATGCTCTCCGGACCTTCACCAGGCGCACCGAGAAACAGCTGTCCCGGGAGTGTGGTTCTCCGCCCAGTCCAGCGAGGTCTGTGCCCCGTCAGCAGACCTGCAGGGGGGACGTGGCCTGGGGGCGTACGTGTCACCCACTGCCCGGTGGGTGCTGCTGTTTTCTCTTCCTCGAAGCCTAACGGTGGCTCCCAGGCGGAGGGACCCCGGCACCCATCCTCCCGTGCCAGGTGGGGATGGAGATGGTCCTGTGGATCCCATGGCCACGGGGAGGACCACAGCACACGCAGTGCCCTCCCTGAGTGCCCAGACCTCCAGCGGCTCCTGAGGAAGCTCCTGGCTCTGAGGGTCCAGGGCGGCCTGGGCCTCCGTCTAGAGTGTGCCGTGCGATCCTGCGGGCTGTTGGGCGTTTGCGTGGGTGCTGCGGGCGACACCAGCAAGGGCACTTGCTTCCATCTCTTCCAGCCGCGCCCCAGTGGTTCTGACCGCAGCAGGCCCAATAAACGTCCCGCCTGCTCACAGGTGTCCCGTCCGTGCGGAGCTGCTGTGCCTCCCTGTCCCTGTCCCCGTTCTGGGCTCTTCTGCCCTCAGGTCTCACTGTCTCGCTGTCAGCGTTCCTTGAGCACCTAGTGCTAATCACGAGGTCCCTGCGAGGAGTCCCGGGCCGGGCGTGGTGGGGGGGCTTCTGCTGATGCCCGTGTCTACCTCTGCTGGTCCTCCGCATCCCCCCTTGATCCTCCCGTCCCCCCACCGCACACAGAGGCCTCTGGGTTTCTGGAAGCTCGGGCCTGGTTCCCCTGGGGTTCTGCCTTCTGTCGACAAGCACTTTCCCCAATTATGTCCTGCTCCACAGCCCCCAGACAGCGCCCTGCCTGTGGAGCGCTAATTGGTTCTCTTGTTCTCCTGCAGGAGGGCTCCGGGGGTGCAGGCCAGGTGGAGGCCCCGGGAGGTAAATGCGTGTATCCGTGTGCTCAGGGCTCCGTGAGGCCTGTTACCTGGCTGGGCCCTGTCGCCCACGAGGGCTGGCTGTCAGAGCTGATGCTTTCTGTGGGGATTTGGCACCGTGGCCCATGCTGGGGGCAGGCGTGAAGGTGGGGAGCTGGCCCGTGACGGAGTTGGTGGGCTCCTGCTGCCCGCCTCACCGCCCGCTCTGCTTATCACCACTGTGGTCCCCCTTTAGTGACACGGGGACCCCGAGGGCATCCCCCGCTGGTTAAGGCGTGCCTGGATGTGTGGCCCCCGGGGACGCACAGAGCCATCCGTGAGCCCGGGGTGGGCAGTGTGCCAGTCACTGCTCTGCCTCAGACGGAGGGCAGAGGCGGGGATGGGTTTGGGAGCGGGGAAGTGGCCTCTCCTCCCCGGAGAAGGGCTCCATGGGGCCCCCTCCCGGATGGTGCCCAGCCCCCTCTGCGGTGCTCGGGTCCGGGGCCCCTGCATGCTTCTGCCCCGCACCTCCCACTGGGCCCTGTTCTTTGCCATGTGTCCTTCTTAAGTCCTGGGTTTTAAGCTGGTTACTTGCTTAGGACAGCGGGCCCGTTTCGCACACACACTTCACAGGTTTAAGGTTACGTTGTGGTTTTACGACATGAACACGACTCCCACCAAGAGGTGGGTCCGGGTCCCCTCCTCTGGGGTCTGGCAGGGCTCGCCCACGCCTGCGTCCGAGTCTGTGCACAAGTGAGGCCCGTGGCCTCCGCGTGGGTGGACGTGGCCTTGCTCGCGGCCGCTCTCCCTGGAGCCCGAGCCGCTGTGAGGAAGCCCCAGCGCTAGGGGAGGCCACTGAGGACGCCTGCGGGCCCCCCAGACAGGGCGGGGCGGGGCAGGCCTCCCCAGTGTCCGTCCCCTTCCTGACCTGCAGGTGCCAGGGTCTGGGCCCCCAGCGTCGGGTTGTCAGCCTGCCCTCTGCCACCTGCCCCCGGCCACCGTGCTGGCTAGATTTGAATTTCAGACGAACACATGTTTTAGTACAAGCTCGTCCCAGATACTGTGTGGTTACTCACGATACAAGTTGCTCTTCTGCAACCGCCATTCACCTGGACATACTGTGTTTTTATCCAAGTCTGGTAGCCCCCCCCCAACCTGGACTGTCTCCTCCAGGAAGTACCCGCTGAGTGGTGAGTCTCCTGTGTTCGAATGACCCGCACCTTTGTTTCCCTTTCCCTTGGGTTTCCGTACAGTTTGCTAAATTTGGCAGGAAGCCGTGAGCCTCCCGTCGGCTCTCAGAAGGGCTATGGGACTAAATTTCTGTTAGCAGGTGTCTGTCTCCAGTGCCCAGCCCAGGACTGAGTACACATTAGGTGCTCACTAAGTGCGTATTTCATACAGAACGTATGACTCCCAAGGTGAACACTCTATGGCAGGAAAGTGAAACTTGGCCACAGGTTCCAGCCCCTGTTCTCCAACCCCCAGTGGGGCCCATGACTTCACCTCTCAGACCCTCAGTCTCCTTTTCAACAAAAGGGAAGTCGTGAACCCCTTTGTGGACCAAGCTTGACACCTGGGGCCAGCAGGTGCTGGGTCTCCATGGCTCCTCATCCAGGTGGGAGAAAGTAAAGGGCCTCAGGGCCTGGGTTCTGCCCTCTGACCTCCCTGTTGTTGCCCAGAAGGGTAAACTGAGGCCCAGGGTGCCAGTCAGTGTGGCTGCTCTAGGACACCCGTCAACCTAACTCATTCTGTGACCCTGGAAGCCGCTGGAGATGACCCTGAACGCATGTGCAGGGGTTCGGCCTAATCCGGGCTTTGCCTGGAAGCTTCCCGGGACCCCAGGAGAGTCTCGAAGCCTTCGAGCCTCAGTGTCTCCATGTGGGACATGGGTCGTAAGAACACGACTGACTTCAGAGGGTCTGCGAGCCTAAGGCTCAGCCCAAAGCAGGGCGTCGCGCACAATGGGCCCTCCCGCCCGCTTGGGAAGGCCGGACATGCGCAGGAGGGGAAGGGGCACCTGGGACGTGAGCCTCTCCCGGATCGCGCGTGGAAGAGTCGGGGCGCCCGGCTGCGGTCGAAGCGTGGAGCGGTGCCTTCTGCCAGGTGCGCCCTTGCCGCCCTCGGGTCCCGGGTCCCCTCCCCCCGCCACCGGCGGCGTGTGCTCAGGGCAGGCGGGCGCTTGCAGGACAGGACTTTATTGCTGGCCCCCGTGACCGCCGCCCCCCGGGACCCTTCAGGCGGCCGCACCCTCGGCCAGCACGCCGTCGATCCAGTCCGCGTAGCTCGCCAAGCGCGTGTAGATGCCGGGCTTCTTGCGGTTGCCGCACACTCGCGAGCCCGAAGTGACCACGGCTTCGGCCACGCCGCCGCACACAAGCGGGCCCCCGGAGTCGCCCTGTGGGGGCGGGCCGTGAGCGCTGCGTCCGCGCACGCCCCCGGCCCCCCGCCCTTCCTCTCCTCCGTACCTGTCCTGGCCTCGGTCCAGCCCCGCCCCCGGGGGGCGGGGACCACCCCGCCCGGGCTCCCGCCTCGGGCCACGCCCGCCCACAAGCCCCGCCCCTGGGCCCACCTCGCCGCACGCCCCGCTCCCTCGTGGCCACGCCCCCCGCGCACCGAGCAGGTGTCGCGGCGGTTGCTCTCTCCGCACATCATGCGCTCGGTGATGGCGCCGTCGTGGTACGTGCGCAGGTTGCAGGTGGCGCGGGCCATCACCCGCAGGGGCAGGTACTGCAGGCGGTCCGGCCGGCGGCCCGCGTGGGTGACCACACCCCAGCCGGCCACGTCGCAAAGCGTGCCGGCCTCCACGTCGCGGTCCTCGCGCTGCCAAGGCAGGGGCTGCACGGCGGGGCCCAGCTGGGCCTTCTCTGACAGCTACGGGACGGGGCGGAAGCGAGCGTCGGGGCGGGCGCGGGCGCGCGGGCGGGGCCGTCCCGCAGGAGGGGGTGCGGCTGGCCTAGTGGGACGGGGGACGGGGGGCAGGGGAGGTGGGCGGGGGTGAGTGCGGCAGGAGGGGGTGCGGCTGGACTCGGCTGACCTTCAGCAGTAGGAGGTCGTGGTCGATTGTGTCGGGCCGGCTGCCTGGGTGGGGCACTGCGCGGAGCACGTCGTACCGGCGCTTGGAGGGCTCCGGCTGAGACAGGGAGTGCGCGCCCAGGAGCACCTGCACCTTCCGGTTGGCCCTGGGAGTGGGGTCCACCTCAGACCCACGTCCCCACCCCGCCCCAACCCCCTCCCGCGCTCTTTGCTCCGCCTCAGGCCACTCACGCCTCCTCCAGGCAGTGTGCCGCGCTCAGGACCCACTGCTCAGACACCAGGAAGCCGCCGCATAAGTGCCTGCCGTTCACCTGCACCGACGCCATGTAGGGCCGCGCGTGGGACGCGGCCTCGCTGCCGCCCAGGATCCGCCCGCGAGGCTGCGCCGCTGGGGGTGGGCAGGTGGGCCTGAGCGCTTCAGGGCTGACCCGCACGGAGCCCGCACACCTCCCTCCAACCCCCCACGCCCCCACCCCCGGCCCCGCTGCAGCCCACGCCTGGGATTCTGCCCACCAGAGCTGCAAACTGCGCTGGGGACAAGGGGCACAGCCAGCGGACATAATGATAGGGAGTGGTGGGGTCGGGGGCAAATCCCGGGCCTGCACACTGCGCCTAACAGCCTCAAGGCAGATGTGAGCTGAGGGGGGCTGTGGTCTTGCCGGCCTCGGCTTTGCTGGCCCCCAGTCCTGTCCTCTGCAGCCCCGTGAAGCCACGCATCCTCTCTGTGGGGGCAGCTCGGGCCTTACAGTCCAAGTTCTGAAAGTTCCTGGACTTGAGAGCCTTCCATTCACGTGGACTTTGTCCCCCTTTCTGTTCACCTAGTGGAGCCAGTGGGGCAGGGCCGGTGCTGGCTGCCTGACTGTCCTCTAGACTGGTGGCTCCTGCTGTCCCCTCATCCAGGTCCACTCACCACAGACGGCGGCTTCCAGGAGGACCAGAATCACCAGGCGCATCCAGCGGCCTGCCATGCTGCTACTGTGTGGCTGGAGCCTGGTGAGGGGGGCACTTGTAGGGCCGTGGCTGGGGGTGGTGCTTCCGCCCAGCCATCTGTTGGGTGGGCAGCCGTCCAGTTGGGGAAAGTGGCACCTGCCTGGCCTGGTTCCTGCCTGCGCAGTAGTGGGGTTATGCTCCCTCAGTGCTCCACCCCAAGAGTACGCAGGCGGCTGGAGGGCTGGGCCAGGGCTGGCCCTCGCATGGACAGGAAACCCTCTGGACGGGCAGAGAGCAGAGCAGGATGGACCCACCCTCCAGCCTCTCCTGCCCCCAGTCCCCCGCCCACTAGCCCAGGCTCCCCAGGGTGCCCTCCCAGCCCCAAAGTTTCCCAACAGCAGCTGGAGGCCGCGGCTGCAAACAACCAACTTCCTCTTTCTGCCCCTCCCTTCTTTCTCTTCCTCCCCAACTGGGAGAGGAGGTTGGGTGGGGGCGGAGAGGTCATCTGATGGCTTTGTCCCTGGTGGTTCTGGGCCTGATACCCCGACAACTCGAGTATTAGAAAGGCGGCACGTAGGGGCAGCTGGGAAGCCTGCTGGATACGAGTGACAGGAAAAACAAGTTAAGGGGAG